GCCTTTCCCCTTCCTTAGTTTGATGTGATTTTACTACATATTTTTCCTTCTATACTACTAAAATAAGTAACGAACACATGAGAACCTTGCCATTTCATAGTAGGTAGATATATGTAAAAAACTAAAACTTTTAATGTCCTCAAAGTAATTGCACGTAGAATAGCCAGGCTTAGTCAAGATCTATTGCACTCACCACAAAGGCAGAAAAGCTTTCCATTAATATTTTTCAGAAAATAAAGTTTTAAAACGTTATTGTTTCAGAGTTCTATTGAACACTTGAAACCATCTATACATGGAGGAAAAAAAATCCCACACACAGGGTTGTCTTACAAGGGACTGCATCCACAGAGGTCAGAGTAGTGCTTTGGCTCTTACTGCTTTTTAGATTGTTCAGTTGGTCTGGCAGTACATGCAGGAGAATTAAAAGAGTCTTACTTATTAATGTCATATAGTGCAAAGAGAAACATCACATACCTGTACATAGATCCTAAAACGTGTGCTCCAGAACTAAACAGATAGTGAGATACCATGCCTACATCTAGTTTACTTCTTACGCTTTCGGCATCTGAAAACGATGAAATTCTGAATTGACAAAAATATCAGTTTCATTCTACAGGCAGTCATGCTTCCAAGTTAACTGACTGTCAACACAACAGGAACAAGATAGCGACTTTTCTCCCCTTCCAGTAAGCATGAATACTTACATTTCTTCTTTCGGATGGCTGCGATTCAGACAGAAGGAAGGCTAAGTAAGGGCCTATGGGAACAGATCCCTTTTGCAGAATGAAGCCCACATTTCATCTCTGTGAAGGATGTTGAAAAGAAAGAAGTAGTTCTCTAGGAGTCTCAAAGGACTTACATATCTAACTGGTAAAGAAAGAACACGGTCTCAACGGAGGATATAGGGAGATGGGTAATTTTCCTTAGTTTAATGAATTTGACATATTGATGGGAAGAAATCAGGCCTAACATACCTCTTTCCAACTTTGCGAGCTCTTTACAGATTGCCAAGCTCAATGCTGATGAAGTGCTGGGGCACAGCAGGTGGGCTAAACAAATCCAACTTGGCTTTTTACACCTTCTTCTTCCCACAGCACCAAACAGGAGCCTACCTTTGAAATTTAAGGAGGATTTTCTGCCTCTCTGTTGCTGTAACAGACACTCTCTGGCTTCGAAGGAAATGTGGTTAATCTGGAATTGCCCTGTCATCAGCAGAAGAGCTGCAGTTACCTAAGAAGGGAAGGACCTACCCCTAGGAGTTGCAGTTCTGGTTCCTCTCCATACTTACTAGGCTGAGCAGAGAAAACCCAAGGTAAGATGAATTATCATGTCATAACAGAAGGGTGGTGGTGGGGAGGAAAGGAGGGCGGTTTCTCAAGCACGAGTTTTATGCTATTGTTCAGAACAACCCACTCGTCTTGCCCAGGAGGCTGCTTTAGTGCTTTTGTGAACGTAACAGGTTTTCCAACTAAAAATGCAATAAAATGTGTGTTATTTTGAGATACTGTAATTACCATGGTGAATACGCTCTTTGCCTTTTTCCTTTATTTGCTCTAGGGTCAAAACCTCTCATCTGTGACCACACAAGTGTATATTTGCCAGCTGCAGTACTGTAGTGTTAGGGTTTGCATCATAGTTTACAGAAAACATCAGAAACTGGATCCGTAACCACCTCCTTGACTGACCTGCTGGACATGGCATTGTCTGGTTACACTTCTGAGTTTGTCACCAGGGAGTTGTCTGTAGGGACCAGCTCCCGGTCAGTCTTCCGTTGGGCTGCTCTGGATGCAATTATTCTCTGATTTACCTCTGCACATGTGAGTTTTGCTCTCCTTTTTCTTCATTTAGAATTAGACTTTTCCAGAGCCTGTATTTACAACTTTTCCAGAGGAAATAAGAAGTGTTTTGTTATGTTTGATTTATTAGAGAGCTCCATACGGAAGCCATCACACAAGGTAGAGTACACCTCTTGCGATGAAAACATAGAGAACGGTACATGAAACTCAAAACCTCCCACGAACCAAAGTAACTCTAAACAAACTATTTAACAGAAGAGTGCAGGGCTACTAACATGTCCACTAACGGCAGTGACAAAGCACCCACCAACAGCACTTCACTGGCACAGGATCGCACCTCAGCCTTTCATTATTAGTTTTGGAGCTGACAACCTATTGTAATTCTGGTATTAATGACAGCAGCTCTGAAATACCTTTCAGTTCTGTCTAAACAGTTTACATACATATGCATAACAAAGCAAACAGTTCTAGTCAAGTTCTCTTTTTTATACATAGAATATACAGAAAGGAGAGCCAGGGCATTTCACTGTTTTGATATCAATATTGTAATAGTTTCTAATTATTATTTTATTATTTTAATTCGTATTCTTTCATCGGGGGTCAAATGTTTGAACGACAATATGTAGAACCATCTAGTATTTGTTGACAGTGATAGATTCACATATATTCACATACATTCTATGCAACAATCACTTCGTGTAGGATGCTTAAAATGTATCTTAAAAGTATCTTACACAAGCAATTCACATTTTTATATGACCTAAGACTGTTTGAAATCTTTAATTTTCTGAAGATTTTCTGCCATCTTCATGTTATTACTGGGCAAATAGTAATATCCATAAATCTTACTAATTTATAACAGTTTAAGTGTATTTTTTTCTTATCCCAGTAGGAAGAAATTCACCTTTGCTGTCTGGATATCATTAGGCTTCAATCCACTTTTTATGGATGATGTCAAGCAAGGGACAGGCTTGAGCCTCAGCCCTTGCTTAGGAGAGGGCAGTCAGGAGACACATTCCCAGTATCCTTGCTCATTACTAGCACTCTTGCTAAGTGTAAATTTTACCCTTTACAGAACACGATTATGCATGAAGGCCAAATGTTTAACCTACGGTCCACATTTCTCATCATAGGGGAAGACAACCTCCTCCCTACTCTCCTTTGCCTCTCCTTTTTTTTTTGAAAGGATCCTTGTGAGTGTAACAGAGTGCAATTCTGACAAGATGCAATTATTTAGATAAATTATCTAACTTCAAGCAAAAAATGAATGCAAAAAATTACATGCCAAGTCAGCTAGCAAAGAAAGAAAAAGTATTATGAGTTTGTTTGGTCTTCAACAGTGTTTTATGATTCTGCTTCTAGACCAGCTGAGCTGCAGAAACATTTCAGATTCAAAACGGGCAACTTGAATGGAAACATGCTATTTGCAGAATGATTAATTTTTTAACAATTAAATATAAAACAATCATGAAAATTAAATTTAGTTCTTCAGGTATGTGTTAACTAGAAAACTCAGCACACAAAACAGTTCTAAACAACTTGGTAGAATTAATTCTTCTTTCTAAGAGGTCTGAGTACTTCCCACCTCACAGCCATGCTATCCTCAGAGCAGTGTCATGGATGCCACCTAAACTACCACAAGTCACCAACACAGCACACAGAGTACATCAGATGAAAGTGTGACATATTTGCCTAGAAGGACTCAGATTTTTAAGTGACACTGAAAAGATTTCCAAACTGAATTTCCAAGTTCAAGCTCCCACGAAGTCTGAATGGTCACAGCTATAGTAAACAATACAGGTGAAGCCAAGTAATAACTCTCACGCATGAAAAATAACTATTATTTAGCATTTTTTTTTATTGGAGTGCAGCACAGATACGTTCCCTGAAACAGTAACTTCAAAACATTTATGAACATAGCTGTCAAAAATATTAAATACATACAATTTAAAAAATCTAAAACATGAATATTTAACAACCTAAGACTTATTCACAATGAAATTTCTCCATCATTTACAGTATTTATCTCAAATACTGTAAGAGGATGCAAGTCTGAAAATATATGTACTGTAAGCTGTCACAGAGCATAGAAAATATATGAAAATATTCACTAACATTTGGCACTATATAAATATTCTACCCCGAGAGAGAAAACAAGTGTAGTCTTTTGTGTGACACACCACACATCATTATTCATCACGAATCATGATGTTACATCAGAGAGCTGTTGCTCATGTAACAGCAGCTCTGGTTTTAGCCCGGAAAAACACGCTCAAAGCTTGAGAGCAGAGGACACAGTGGTCTGTGAGAACGCATGTTTAGGTACTTAGCCATTTAATTTAGCTGGATAAGAAACAATGTAATGCTTTCCTGTTGTTAAACATTGCCATGTGTATCTCTGGCACACAAATTAAAAAAAGAAGGGTGTGACCATTAAAAGTACGTGTCCTGAGATTTCCTTCTTCAGGGGGCAAAGAGGTTAAAATGGAAAAGCTGATCTGTGTATAAATCAGGAACACATGTGGTAATGAGAACAAACAGCAGCCAACAGGCAGGCAGGGAGGAGTTCTCCAGGCACAGAGTGAGATGGACAAAAATACCATCTACTGGAAAGGGAGCAGAGGAACTGTTTTACACTTTGAAATTGGTAAGTTTAACCAATCTATTAAGTTTTCATAATTATTTAAGTACTCATAATTAACTCTGAGTTTTAAAACTTGGTTTAACTGGAAAGCTGTCTGGTAGTGCAAAGCAGCGTTGCTTTGGCATTAATACTGGTTTCCATCTATAGAAAATCAGAGGTGATCTTAAAGAAACACATGTAACAGGATCTTTGTGTTTAGTATCTGAGTGAAAAAACAAAACAGGGTGGACACGTAAACTTCATCTTAAAGTTATGACATTTTTGTGTCTGCAGCCTACCTACTGGAAGTAGATACCAACAGCCAGTCTCTTACTCAGGCTGAAATAGTTTCGCTTGATTTCTTTGGAGATAAACAGAATGCTTAACATAGTAAGTTACTTAAGTGTAATATTCTGTTTATCTGAACTCAAATACAAAATAGTTGTGAATAATAATCCTTTTGATCCAATGCATCTGATATACCAGTGGCAGCCCCCCAAAATACTAAGTCAATTAAAATGAGTCTTTATCTTCACCTTAAGACTTGTTCCTTAACACAGACAGAAAAAATAAAGAAAACATTACAGATCACAAAGCACTGAATTTTCAAGTGTAAAGTCATACCAAAATCTTGATAAATTATCATTGATGTCGTAGGTGAGCAATCGGTCAGGAACATCATTATGGGTGCCCTGTACTGCTAACACATGTGGTGCTAGGGCAAAGGGTACGTCACTCAGAAGATCTGACATGAAAGGGCTGCTTTCCAAATTTTGACTCCTTTCATTTCCCACCTCTGCACTCGATACAGTCAACTGCGATCGGTGCCCTGTATTTGTCTAAAGAGAACAGAAGAACAGAAATTTAGACACTACACATCAGGCAGCTAAGGCTTTGTACTTAGAACCATCATGACCTACCAACAAATGAAAACAAAAAACAATATAATAAATAAAATTGGTAGTTTGGTTCAGGTAGATCTAAAATAGCAATTCTTAATACATGTCAATATAACTCTTTGGGTCAGGTTGACTTAAATTAAGGCTAAAACAACAATAGATTTTTTTTAATGATTATTGAGATTTCTCCACTTAATGTTACTCTGTGTTTATGAAACCCATAAGGCTGGTGGAACTTTTTGTCATTATGTCCAGGTTTGTTTAGGAGAAATTAATTCATCTAATTTCTTTCATAAACTGATGAGGCTCCATCTTTTTTTCCATCTGTGCATTTTCAGAAGTTGTCCAACAAAGGCATGACTTTGATGATTAAAAACCACTCCTATCCCAGTCATTTTGAAGTATTACTGACGTTGCCTTCCAATTTGAAATGGAATTGTACAAGTGGCTGGTAAGGTCTATTATATATGGTAATATGTGCATTGCCAAATATGTGCTTTATAGAAAAATACAGTTAAAAAAACTTTAAAAAAACAACAAAAATCCCTAAACCAAAAGCAACAATGAAATAAAAAAAACCTCTGCCCTACAGAAAAGTCAATATTAATTTACAGAAAATGCCGGCAGATAGGATGCTGGACCCAATGGACTTGCAAGCTTTGATACTGGCCTACTAATATGACCTTAGTAAGTGTTTATCCTAAAACTTCTACTGTTTTAAAAACAAAGAAAAGACTATTTACTCTGCCTCTAGAAATCAAATCTAACTTGGTTTACTATTTATAGTAATAAAATGCTAGGTAAACTGAGAGCTCTCACATCATTTCTAGGAGTAAAATGTTTGTTATATGGATTTCTACTTCATATAAGCACACAGAGAGAAATATTCAGTAATTTGTTCACAAAGTGCTTAACAAGTCATGTCAGAGCCAAGAACATTAGAGATGAATTTCTGATTGCAGTCCCGACTTCTTCCTTACAACCCTCCATACTCAGCACACAGCCAGAAAAATCCAACACTTACACTGTTACTAGGGAAGGGAAATCACTGAAAGCTTTAAATGCTAATTTGGTGTAGTAAGAGCTGAATCGATCTAGTTGTATGGAGGTCACTTTCATCCTAAATTTTTCCATGATTTTTAGGGAAGTTGTGCTGCTCAAGATCTGACCTGTGCTGGAGTTGAATGTTACAGATCATGGCTGTTACAGAGAACCTGAGGTTGTGGCTATTTGACAGAAGGACAATTTGGGCAGTGGGGTGGAGGTGGGGTTTGTTTTCTAGCCCAGGAGTATGTAACACAGCTCAGCCTTTGGCCAGGCAAAAGGCACTCCATCTCCTTCTGAAAGGAAGGACTGGATTTGACTTGAACGCCACCTGAGCACTAGTCATTCCTTACACAACCCAACATTTTATCTAGTAGGACAGATAAACAAACATTAAACCTTCTATTAAACTGTCAACAATGAAATAGATAATCTCACCAATCTAAGTCAGTTCAGAGTCAGTACTTGTCTTAGGTGATGGAGGATGCTTGCTCCTCCATAAGCTACTGGGACAGAAGCGGTTAGTGGTGCTGCACACTCTGAAATGGACCCTCATTTGGAAGCTTTTGTTTGTACTCAGGATGACTAGAAAACTAAAGCTTAAGATAAACTTCCCAATATCTGTTACTATTATGTCACAGGACAATAACGTAAAATTTCTCAGGGTTAAGAAGTTTTATTAAAAGGAATGACTCCTAGATGTAACTACTAAACTTACTGGTTATGATCCAATACAAAAGAGGAATGAATGAGCTCCAAAGGAGGCAAGTGAGGAAAGCATCTACCTACTGAGCTGCTGAGATTCACTTCTCAGAACAAATCCTATTTGATTTTCCCCCTTCTCTTTCAGATCATCTTCTGGCTAATTGTTATAAAATATTTTATTTTATAGGTATCAAAAAGGGAAGAATAGTCCCATCTTTGTCTATGCTTCTAGGCCACTTTAGAGCCTTCTGGAGATAGACAAGGTATGTCGCTGGGTTTCTCCTGCTTTAACAATATTCTCTAAGCTACTGTGATACTGACATGTCTGTATTACATAATTCCTGCAGCTACAGATAACAGATGTTTCTTCTTGTTCTTTATTTTCCCTAGCTTTCCTTTTCTCAGTTCTCTATTCTTATGACTAGTTAACAGCTCTTCAGAAAGCTACATGCAACAGCAGAGGCAAGAGTTGATAAAGATGATTTCTTTTGGCTTCCCTTACTGATTCTGACATCTTTAGAGGGCAGGGAAAATAGCAAATCTAGCAGAAAAGTCAGGAAGATAGCTTGTATAGTTCTACTGCAGCTTTCCAAGCTCTGAGCAGAAAACCATGGGCAATAGCACCGTAAGCCTGTAAGCTCAGGAAAAACCCTAAAACCTCTTGTACTTGTCTGTTCTAATCAGCACAGTTATCTTCAAGCTGAAGATCAGCAGCTCTCACCTTAAAAGGGATCTTAGCTTCCATAGCTGCTAATTGATAACACTTAGAGGGAAGTCTTCCTTCTTGTCATGGCCAAATAGGCTCAAGATGTGCATCATAACAAAATTCATGAACATGTTCTGCTATAGACATATAGATATATTGCTAAGAACACTGCCAAACACATAAAGTGTTATTTACGTTAATGATATTTATCTGAAAAAAAAACCCTCCACAATACTTCAAGTAAGTACTTAAATTTGTAGCTGCAGTAAACTTAAAAACTTCCCTTAATTTCTACTCTGCACAAATTTGTTACATTCTCTCTCAAAAGCAATAACCTGTGGAGCGTTTATTGAGGTGCTGGTATTTGCTTGTATTACATCAGTCCCATATTCTGAAGCGGAGAGCGGAGCCAGAAAGCTCCAAATGAAAAACAGGAGAAGGTTACATCTAGGAATCAATTAAACAAGATCTTCAAAGACCCTTCTGCCTGCCCTGACTCCCACATTCCACAGAAAAATGATCCCTCACTCACTGTCCTATTCCCATAGCTCAGATGATAATCAGAAATCCCTAGAATCTAATGTTTATTTTGTTTGGCAAATTACACTTTTATGAACACCTGTTTATATCTTAATTGTCCCACAAGCTGGATGAACTCAATTTACAATGCAAATTAGACTAGCACGTGGCAAAACGAACTTCAAAGAGGAAAAAAGAAATCGGAGAGAGCACAGAGCATCTTGGATTTTCTTTTTTCCTCCAGAAATCTTACATTTGTTAGAAGGGTGACAAATGGGCAGCGCCAGAAAGTAAAACTCTTTCTGCACACAGCAGATACGCTGTATTGACAATGACAGAGCAAGAACCAGCTTTTCTTACTCTCAAGTCCCACTTCATGTTTCAAAGCAAGACTGCAGTAAGGAAGGATGAATTACACTAGAATTATTTTACTGTTAAACATAATTTTACCACACCCAATCTCTGATTACTGTCAGTGAGGTTCTCAATAGTCTATAGATTCTGAAACTATTTAAATAGTCAAAACAGTATCATAAATAAAGGCCAAAATGCTGGGAGTAACATAATATAGGTAAGTCAGGAACAAAGAAAAGCGTCAGATCAGTGTAACAAATGCCATAATCTGATCTTGGACCTAATGTCTTTGGGTCCCAGTCTACCCAACTCCTCGTAAGAAGGTTTTGGGTCCAATATGACAAGATCAGTTTAAAGCATAAATGAGCAAACAACTCGAGATTTCATATTTCAATTTCATACATAAACCACTACTGACTCTCATGAAAATGGCCATTTTTAACTATCTTAAAATGGTCACATTCACTTTTTCATTTATAGCAAGCCACGTTTTATGTTATTACTATTGGACAGACAACCCAACAAATTACGCAATGGGAAAAATATAAAACCTGGGGAGGATGACTCTTTAACGCAGTATGCAAAACCCAAGCATGGTAGAAAAACGCTGGCTAAAGTTAACCTGAAAAGATAACTGAAGGCAGGCTGCTAGAAAACTCTGTCACGTTTGCATTCAGTCCTTGAATACGGTGGAGCCCATGCCTTTACCTAGTACACAGTGTGTCATATGCATTATGGCATATATTATATTATCTATTAGGTATCTACATACAGAGAAAAAAGTTTCTGTCCTGAACAATTCAGGTCGTAAGACGTAATTTTTCAATTCTGCCTAGTGCAGTCATTACAGGCAATCATTGCCCTTTGCTATGCAGAACTGTTTCCGAGCACTCTTGCAGTGATATTTAGATACTGGCCTCATGTGCAAGACCTTATCAAGGCAGACATATTTTTGTGCTTCCAAATCGTAAAGACATCCTTTAAGTGGGCTAAGACATATTTCACTCATATGCTGGAGAATCCACATCAGTGAAAAGACCGTGATGAAGCCAACCTGACCAGCAGGTTTTTATAGTGACTGTGGTAATGTAATGAAGAACTGGACACTCTAGTAGAGAACATCAATCACCCATCAGTGCTGAGATCACTCAAGCTGGTTACGATGCAAACACCAGCACAAGGCTATGTGATGCAATCAAAGTCAAGGTTATGCAATGGCTTATGTTTTCACGCATGCATTCTTCAAGCATATATAGAACTGCAAGCCCTAGAGAATTTGATATCCCACATTAGTCACACTGGTTTCCACTTAAATGCCTGATTTATTTATCCAGAATAGAATCTATTCAGAGCATATTCTCTGGACATTAGATAAAGTAAGCACTACCAAATGGTATGACACACAATTCTGCTATGAGAAATATTAACAGAATGCTCTTCGAAGATCACCAAACAATTTACATTTCACCAAACACCAGGGAGTCAAAAAAACAGTTAAAATTACAGAAGGTATGGTAATCAAATATAATTCAAATAAGCAAGGTGTTTTCTTCATTCTTCGTTTACAATCCCAATGAAGAGGGATAGAGAAACAGTATGTAAACATTTACGG